ATTATTTAAAGTGTCTTCAGCTGCAAAACACTCCGTGGCCTTAATTAGGCAAAAGGAGTTCTTACGAAGCCTTTCAGAGAGTTCTCATGGGTGTTTGCAAGAAAATTTGAAGCCAAGGTTCTGCTCTCATTCACAAGTGAGTCAAAAAAAAAATCAACTTTAGTTGTTGGACATTCTCAACATCATTTGACAACATATATTTAATTTAAACTATGAGCTGTGGTACATACATGTGTCTCAAAGTCTCCACTTCAAGGGAAAAAATTATGAATTAGGCGAGCAAAAAGTGAATGGATTAAGACATGAAGAACTGGACAAGACCATGAAGCAGACTCTGAACAAGAACTGGAAGATTACATACCTACTCTGACCTTGCTACAGGATAGAACTCTCTAAGGATGAGCTGGACGATGTGAGTAACAAGACAAGTATGATGGCTGCCATGCTTAGGATTCAGTGCTTGGACCAGTACTCTTTAAGTTATATAAGCTTCCATTAGGTAAAGTTTTTAAACATCCTGGGATAAATGTTTATTGTTATGCTGATGATAATCAGTTATATTTGTCCATGAAACCCAATGAATCCAATCAGTTACTTAATAAGCATGTCTTAAAAACATAAAAATCTGGATGACCCTTAATTTTCTGCTTTTAAACTCAGACAAGACAGAGGTTGTGGTTTTTGAACCTGAGCATCTTAGGAATAAACTTTGAAGCCATTCACTTCCTCTGGATGGCATTAATTTGGCCTCCAGTTCTATTAATGAAAACAACCTTGGTGCTAAATTTGATCAGGAGATGTCTTAACCCCAACATTAAAAAAGTTACCAGGACTGCTTTCCTCCACCTGCTAAATATAACTGAAATTAAAAACATCTTGTCCAAAAATGATGCAGAAAAACATGTCCATGCATTTATTATGTCTAAGCTGGACTATTGGAATTGTTCTTGCTGGGCGATTAATTGTCTCAGAAATTATTGTTATAAATGATAATATTGTTTGAAATTTGACAATTATTAGTAATTATTGTCAAATTTAAGAAGAACTGTTGGTTAATTTTATTTTGAATTTAGTACCTTTTTTGATCACCGAATGGCAGAATAAGACTGTTTGAACCGAAGGATGGATAGTGAGACAGCGAGCAGTGGGTCTCCTTAAGAAAAATGGGAGGAAGGCCCCTTGACGTGACATGGGCTGTCTCCTTCCTTTTTTTTCCCGGTTCTCAAAATGGCAGATGCTCGGTTTGGTTTGAGCTCTTTAGCATAGCATTTTTCACACAAAGCTTTTAATAAAAATAAACAAATCAGTAAATAAGTTCTCGGTTTCTTTTTGCAGAGAAAAACAACTTTTTACACGAAGGCACATGTTTCAACTGTGAATTTTGGAGCTTTGACAAGACAAGAGGTTTATCCCCAAGGTCGGCCTGTTAGCTTAGCTCGTAGCTTAGCTTCTCAGCTTAGCTGCCTTTACAAATCAAAAAATGCGATTTTGGATGGTTGAAATGGATTTTAAAGCGAAAAGAGAAAGGGAGGGGTCAGTGAAGAGCACCAGAGTTGAGCCTTTTGTCATCCAGTGTCTTCAGTAGAAAGAGAGAGACAAAGAAACAATAAAGCCGATAAATGAAAATGAGATTGATACTTTTAATTTATCATGCCATTAACTGATTTATTGTTTATTGTGACAGAACTATCCCTTAGTTATGCTGCTATAGGCTTAGACTGCTGGAGGACAAATTGACCACATTGTGTGTTTTTGTCTTTATTTCAATAGAAAGCAAACCTGTCATTCTATGTTCATTTGTTTCTCCTTCCTGTCCTCTCAAACCCAGCCGGGCGAAGCAGATGGATGCTCTTCCTGAGCCTGGTTCTGCTGGAAGTTTCTTCCTGTTAAAAGGGAGTTTTTTCTTTCCACTGTTGCCAATGCGCTTGCTCAGGATGGGAGACTGTGACAAAGTGAAGATTCAACACAATCTGCTGGCTTCCTTTGATGGATAACTTTTACTAATTGGCTTTTATAATGTATGTGAATGTTTTCGTACAGTGCCCTGAGACAACTTCTGTTGTGACATAAACTATATGAATAAACTGAATTCAACTGAGTCTTGATAGTGATGCCAGCAGTTCTTTAACATTTGAAATGAAACCTCCAGTCTGTCTTTTCTCCACTTGCACTCAGCTCTACGGACAGCCTGGGTCATGTCATTCAGCCAGGGCTCAAATTTAAGTTTTGGCTGTCTGGTCTTTAGGGAGCAACAGTGTCCATAACAGACAGGCAGGTGGAGAGAAATCACAAGCTGAGTTTCTGTGTATTATTGAATAAAGTCTCTGGAGTGACACACCTCTGATTAAAAACTGTGAAGAACTGAGCAGCAGTGGAGGGGTTAATGATGCAGCAGCTCCGAGCAGCGGTGCACCGTTTAACGGAACTTCAAACAATGGGAACCTCAAAAAAACAAAAAAAACAGGCATATGGCCAGAGAACACTGTATCACAGATCTGCAGGTGAAAAGCAGGCAAGCCAAAGGATAAAACCAGATCCAAGGTGTGTCCAACATATCTTCATCCTCTTTATTGTGTCAGTCTAAACTTTATGTTGAAGACAGGCCAAGCTGCACATCAGAGGAGAAAGAAGGGGTGGTGAGATCCACAGGAACTTACTGGAGTCTGCTGTTGGTTGGCCTGTTGACCAGCCAAGCTAATTTCACACTCCCCTGGCATCTCTAATGCCTCTGGAGTTACCACTGGCATAAACAGAAAGTCAAAGCAAAAACAGAGAAGAAAAAAGTAAAATATTACAGGGAACAAATGAAAAGGATCAGTCTCGCTTGAATGCAAGCAGCCACAGAGGCTGGCTGCTGATTTAGGACTTTACGTGTGTATCTCCCTCTCTTTAATGCATGATGCTGGAATCAAAAACACACTAGAACAAGATCAGCTCTCTGTGCGGAGAAACTGTTTTTGACTATGACTCAGCAGGTGTGGACAAATTTGATTTTTTTTTTTTACTTTGTTTTCCACTGGTCTTTTCACTTTTTATAATTAGCCTCACTCAGAATGAATGAAAACAAGTAATAAGAGCTCTCTGTCTCTGTCACTGAATGTTGTCAACGCCAGCATAGTACAAGAAAAACAAAACTAAAAATGAAAGAGATAAGAAAAACTGCACACTTTTTTGTGGTTTTGTGACACAAAGCTTGCTTGTGGTCATTCAGTACAGTTTATAGATTTTTGAAACAAGTTTTGACTGCTCTGAAGCTGCAACGCACAAATAAACACGTCAGTTTTACTGAAAAGGAGAATGTTCATGTCTACGTTCATGTATACATTAAAAGTGCTGTCTTTAGTGCCCGATGGTTCACTATAAATGAATTTAAATACAGTTTGTTTGTTTATCAAACTAATTTTTCATGGAAATGTATTTTTGTTAAAATATAGTATTTGTTAATTAAAATAAATGTTTTAAAATATTATTAATAATGCCATTCTTACTCGAAGAATGAAAACAAATCTAACAAAAACAACTAGACTGTTAAAGTGAAAGATGGAAAAATAAAATACAGAGATTTATTAAACAAATAATTTGGATTAGTTTGGACTATCTATTTAAATAAGATGTTGACAAATAAGTCCTGTCCACTCTTATGTTGTAGATGATGTCAACTCAACTCATGTATTTTCCATTTAAACAACAGAATTACTGAATTTTGACAGAAATCTAGTTGTGTGGAAAAGTCTGATATACTTTTACAATTATTTAAACAGTTTACATATTTAAGTAATAGTTTTATATACAAGTAACAAAAATAAATGATTTAACAAATCTAAATACAGTACAAGTATTTTTGTCACGTAAGCAAGCATATTATTATTTAAGTCTATCATACATATTCTTTGTCTGTTTTTAGTGTAACAGCGTCTGACGGATGGTGTCAAGTGACAAAAGAGCCTGGTAGAGAATGCTGGAGATGTCTTTGATGCAATTCTTTTGACACTTTCATATATGAATTGTGTGCTGTGTGCAGGTGATGTACTGACAAATGATAAAAACTACACAGTTTATCAAATCAAGTGTCCATAAACCAGGTTAGTTGTTTTATCTTTAAGAAATGATCAGCATCCTGATTTACTGCACAAAGTGTCTAACATACAAAGGACAATACTTTGTTAGAGCAACATCTGACATGCTATTTTAAACAAAGCAGGCTGTTCAGTAACATTAATCATCGCTCCAACTTCAGATACCACAGACTCTTTAATCTCCTCAATAAACTCACAGCCACAAACACTTACAGACTTCAATTAGTCTCAAAGGTTATCGTTATTAGGCTCAATTCATCTGTCTTCAAATATCTTTAAATTTACACAGTTGTGTGCTTTATATTTGTATAATTTAACCAATGCAAATGTAGATTTAAACAATGTTACACTCTGTCTTCCATGCAAGACAAATAGCACATTTCAGGATAATTAACTAAAGCAGGGGAGTTGTAAATGCATTATGGCTCTCTTACACAACTACACCCTAACAGGAGCCTGGGCTTCACAACAAATATACTAAATGTAAGTTCAGAAAACCTTTTTACGATCCTACTTTTCAGAATGTAAATACTGTATTACTGATGGTAAACCATTCACAAAGAATTTTAAATTTAAGCATCGGTTTATGTCCCAACAACCTTACACATGTGAATGAATAATCAGTAAGATTTTGCACTGGCAGGTTTCAGGTCATGTTTATCCCCAAGCAGACTGGAGCAGATGGAACAAGACGCAGTGCTTCCTGGTGACACATCAGATGGAGCTTTAAGGTTTTTGAAATACGGTTTAAATATTACAGTAGGTACATAATCTAAAGACCAATTAGATATTATTTATTTAAAATGAACTCCTGAAAAAGTGTAACATGAATAAAACATGTAAAGTTGTACTGCTTTATAAAGTGCTGTTTGTTGAGTGGTACTGGAAAAAAGGTCAAACATAACTGTGGAATATCCTACAGACCTTAGTCTTCCACGTGGACCATGTCCATGGGGGTAGCCATGGCTGTGAGATCGTCTGGGGACAGGCTTGTCCTCTTCATGAAGGTGATGAAGTGAAGGTGAGCGGGAATGGGAGGATCTGGAGCTGCCAGTACTCTGGAGACTGCTGTCAGGGATCTCTCCATGACGACTCTGATAGAAAGAATGCAGAATAATAAGAAAAATGTCTTGATGCATGCTCAATAATCCAGGCAAATAAATCTAACAAGGTTGAGTCAGGTCCTCCGGATGGATTCTTCTTTGTTGAAACATTTCGTCTTTTATCCAAAAGACTTCTTCAGTCTGAGGAGCTGCAGCAAACAGTCTTATAAGCCTTCTTATAATGGAAAGAAAGAAGAAAAAGAAGAAGAATCTGTCCAAAGGATCTGACTCAAACTTTTTAGAATGCAGAATAAAGTTTGTCATTAATATTATTGCAATTATTCTAAACACATTGACATTTAACTCATACTAACATGTTTACGTCTTTTCAAAGTTTCTTACTTCTCCGAGGCTGCTGTGCTGCTGCCCAAAAGCTGGGAGACTGCGCAGCGAGGGAACAGGGGAGTGACCCTGGCGGCCGCGGACTTCTCGTTGAGGCTGAGGATGGATGTGATCGTGGTCGCCGTTCAGGTTGTTGTCACTCGCAGAGCGGAGCAAAGAGCGCGGTGAGGGCAGGGGACCAATCGTCATTCGCCGACGGTTGGTGTACGAGGGAGTCTCCCTGAAAGGCACTAAGAAGATGAAGAGACGCCGGCTGAAAAGACAGATGCTATGGCAAAATGCAGAACTGACTAAATGTTATGATGGAAAACAAGTTTTTAATCTCTGAAGTCTTTTTAAAGCATTGCCTGGTAGCTTTAAGTACAGAAGAAAACTGCTAAAAACAAACAAAATAACTTTAAGCCAACAGCGATTCTAAAAACTGGGTCTAAAAGTAAAGATACATTTAAATATCTGGGATTTTGCTCACTTTCATTTTTGTATAAGCTGTACTATGATAATGGAGATTAATTTATTTGGTGCATTCTCATATTGAGCAAAATATGTTTGATGGTTGAAAAATTACTAAAAGTAAAACAAAAGACTAAAGAGAAAAGCAAAACAATTGTTCAGTTTTGATTTTAACGATGAATTAAATAATTATTTTAGGTTCAATCTGATTTTATTAATAAATTGCCAGCAGTCCGAGTACACTGTAAGTAGTAAAACAGCCATTTTACATGTGATTCATGGTTTATATGAGCTGACTGTTAAAAGCCTTGAACTATTTGAATAAACATGACTTTAGAGTGAGGTATTACAGCTGATCCACACCAGATGGCAGAGTTTTCCTTCATGTTTTTTATTTTTATTTTTTTTACATAAAATCAACTTAACTGGTAAATGACTATTACCTTAAATCCCTCACTCCACACATAATCATTCTTCATTTTTATTTTTCTGCTGTCTGCTTAATCTGTAGTCAATTTTTTTGTCTTCTATGTAACTTTTCAGGTTCAGCTTAAAATGGATCAGAATAATGTTAAAAGTTGTGTAAACGGAGGTCTGCCTTGTTTGCTGTCAACTCACCAACATCTGATGCTTTGTGCACCTTGATGATTTCTGCTAGATCAAAGTTACCAGCTATAATAGCCACCTAATAGAGGAAAAAGAGATGAGTAAATGGAAGGTAAAAACAAAATACTTAAGAGGCTGTAATAAGACAACAGACATAAAAAGCATTTTCCATCATGTCATCCATTTCTCACAATTCCTGCCTTTATAAACCTTCTGCAGGTGCACCTCTTTATTTTAGCTCGTGTTAAAAGCGATGTTTGTCTAGTAATGCTTTCAACACAAATTTAATTTAATTTGTACATAATCTTGTATAAAATTCAACTGTCATTGAACACAACATACCTGAAAAGCAGTTTGACTATTGTAGTTCTTTATCTCTTTATTTGCTCCTCGGAAAAGAAGAACTCGTGCACAGCTATCCTGAACGACAGAGAGATTTATGTTTATTAGATACTGCCACAATTTTTGACAGAAAATAAAAGATGTCTACGCATTATATCATTTCTCCTGTGAGCTTAAGAGTTAGAGTAATAGCAATATCACTGTGAAGTTAAAAGACTGTACATTTTATAAAAACAAAAGCATGTCTAAATGTTAAAATAGGAAGGTAAATAAATTAATAGTCTACATTACAATAGAAGTTCAGGAAACTACAACATTATTTGAAATATAAACATGTCATTTGAACAGAGTTTTAAAAAGTCAAAGAACAAGTGGATTAATATGAAAATGGGGGGATTTTCAGTGAGTCAGCTATCGCCTAGAGCAACTCTGCAAGCACCGATTTTCATTTCTTTTAAAAGAATCACATTTATAAAACTGTTAAAAAAGACTGACAGGGATTATGGAAAATCAGAAAGAAACTTTCTTGTGAAATCCTGGTTGTTTAACACAATATTCTGAGTCTAAGGAACCAAGAATAGTTTTACTATAAATAATATGGTTACTTCTGCTAGACATTTTGCTGATTTGTTACTAAACACTGAGTGAAAAGTAAAATAAAACAGCAGCAGAGAAGCATTATATATTCTACAACTGTGAATTCACACAGATATAATTCCTTTAAAAGTTTACGGCAAAGACTTTAATGAATTTGTAATAACAAATTTTGTGTTTAACATCAATCTGCAAACATTGTACCCATGAAGGATACATAAAATGTATAAAGTTTAACAGGTATGATCTGTTATTACAGATGACATCACAGTGTATTAAAAACATTTTCTGAAGCTTTGTATTAACTTAACCAAAAACTGCCGTTCTCCAAACTCAACATACCTAAAACACAAAATAGTTAAAGAAGATTTTATACTTTCTGAAAATGTTTCACAGGTCTACATTTGCAAAAGTGAAGCCAGAGCTAAATACACTGATGGATTATATAGTTGAATTTATACTGGCAAAAAAAAAAAAAAACTAATCTTTTAGGAAATCTTTGCATTTGGTGCAATAATTTCAATTATTCTGACAGTTCTACTCTTGTAAGTTCACCAGCAACTGTTTAAATAAAGTAAAGAGCACTAGCCACCACTCATGATACTTGCTTACACAATGAAAATCAAAAATTCATCAGATTATGGTGTGATGCTCTTTTGCAATAGTGCTTTTATTATTACAGATTTGTAAAAACATATATCTCTTTCAACGATGTTGGAGGTTTCACTCTTAAATCATCATCTAGTCTTCCTTAACTTGGGCTATGAAAGCAACTACAATAGTCCCTCGCTACTTAGCAGTTCACTTTTCACGAACTCGCTCCATCGTGGTTTTTCAAAGTAAGATTGGACATGACACATTGGTAGGCCCGTTCCGATAAACAACAAATCAATTAATCGCATGGTAAATGAAAATTATCGATCTCCTTTTCATTTATCAGCTTTATCATTTCTTCATGTCTCTCTCTTTCTACTGAAGACACTGGATGACAAAAGGCTCTTCAGTGACACCTCCCTTTCTCTTTTCTCTTTAAAATCCATTTTAACCTTCCAAAATGGCTTTTTTGGATCGTTAAATGCAGCTAAGCTAAGAAGCTAAGCTACGAGCTAAGTTAACAGGCCAACAAAGTTCATGCTGAATCATCCAGGTCGACCTCGGTAAAAAAAAACTCCATGTCGAAGCTCCAAAATTCACAGTTGAAACCTGTGCCTTCATGTCAAAAGTTGTTTTCCTTTGCAAAAAGAAGCTGAGAACTTGTTTATGGATTTTTTATTAAAAGCTTTGTGTGAAAAATGCTATGCTAGAGAGCTCAGACCACACTAAAAAAAGGAAGGAGAAGACAGCCCATGTCACGTAAAGGGGCCTCCCTCCAATTTTTATTAGAGACGCTGCTCGTTCCCTCACTATCCATCATTCAGTTCAAACAGTCTTATACTGTCATCCGGTGGTAGAAAAAAGTTACAACAAACAAAATAAATTAACCAACATTTCTTCTTAAATTTGACAATAATTAGTAATTGTTGTCAAATTTCAAACAATATTATCATTTATCGCAAGAGACAATTAATCGCCCAGCATAATATGTTATCGTGACAGGCCTACACATTGACTGATTGATGGATGATCTGCACGATCGCCCGGCATTGATATTTTTATTTAAAATTAATTATTTTAAATTATTTAGCACTTGTGTGCAGCCCACCTCTGATGGAGAAGCTTCCTCCTGCAACTAATCAACTGATCTCTGTGCAGAGCGGAAAAATGAGCATGGTCGAGAGTGCAGCCGGAGGCAGAGAGCTGTAATCATGACGTTTTGTGCTCTTTTAGAGCGTTTAGAGTTTAGAAACATTGTAATGCTGATTACTTCAGCAGGATGCTTGACCTACATGTCCTCTGTACCTCATCCTATGTCTGAAGAGGAGCAGTGTTGGCCTAGTAAAAGTGAACTTGAGACTAAATGTTGACACCGTGTCATCTAAAACAATTTGGAGCAAAAACATATTCTGAATAGCTCTAAGTGAATGCAAAGATTTCACTAATTGTCTACCATATTGCAAGACAAGCTTGAAAATTTGCAAATGGATTGTCAAAGACAACATCAAACATATTAGAAAATGCATGTAACGTGGTTTAATAAATAGAAATAAAACACTGGTTCTGAAATTCTTTAAAAAAATTAACAAAAATGTGTACAACTTTACTTTTTCTCGCATCAGTAATTTCTAAAAGATACTTGTGTGTAAATGAGTTGAGCCTCCTTGTGGCAAATAAAAACTCTGTTGTAGATTGACAGACAGGACTGTGTGTTAATACAGTGGCTGATGAGGGTCGATAAGTAATTTAACACTGAACAAAGTGCTGGGTCTGGCCTTTTTCTACAGTTACTCAGCAGACTCTTGTCATTACTCAGTAACATGATTAGGAGCATGAATATGTATGCGCTGATTAAGTGAACATTTGATCCGGTTTGTAATGTCCATGTGGGTTTACTCATCAGGGTGAGCATTTGTGACTCACTATGGATGCACGGAAGCACCCTCTTCTCATAAAATACATAGATGGGGTGTCGGTGGTGTTGAGTTTAGTTTGAGATGAAGACCTGTGTCTAAATAAAAAAGCTATATAAATATATTAATGCTTTATAAACAAAGGGACTAATATTAATAATAGTAATCATTCATGCGCTGTACAGCTTCCTGAACATCCAACTGCAAACCAAAGCACTGATCTAAATTGGTATAATTGTTTTTACGTAGTCAAAACAGCAACTTGCGGAGCTAAGTGTACTTAATCATGTATGCTTTATTAAGGGATATCTCTCAGCATGAATACAATGAATTTCCAATTAAAATTTTGGGTGAAAAATCAGGAAATCACCTAAAAATCAGCAAATTGAAGAGACAATGCTGCAAGTATAGAGAAAAACAGACACGTTAAACTAAAGCAATAACTTGAACAAAATAATTGGCCCTTATCTAATCAATGAGGAAGCCACTTTTAAAGTGAATGACAGGCCTATCTTTTATTCTAGCTGAAATTAATAAGATAATAGAGCCAAAGTAATGCCACAAAAACTCTTCAAGTCGTACCAATAACATGACAAAGATTAAAGATCATAGCATTCATAAAACCGCCACACATTTCTATTCTGCCTAAGAGAGGAATTGGTAATTGATGTCACACACATGGGAAGTTGAGCTATTTAAGTGACAGTTTAAACATTTCACAAGAGGTTGCAAAACTGGTTGCAGACGAGACACCAAAGTTAGAAGATTTTAATTTATTTACATAAAGTGTTCAGGTAGACTAACCAAATCAATGCATAGAAGGGGAAAAAGTCGATCAATCAGATGATGTGAGCTGGGACTGAGAACAGCTGGTGTACAGAGATGTAGGTAAAACCTGACCATCTGCTTCAATGAAACAACCTTTCTGCTGCATAAGTGGGAGTGTGAGTATCATAACAACTGACTGGTTTGATTCCTACAATTTGGAGATTTAATACTTTTTTCCAGTCAGAAAACACAAAACAAAGCAGGGTCAAATTGACATTTAGGACATTTTCATGCCATTTCCCCCAAACTTCCAACAGGAATCCATAACAAAAGGCCTTACTGAGAAAATAATGTGAATGCTCACAATAGAAAAATCTGTCATAGCAAATGTGACAGATGGGACCTTTCAATTTTATGTTGTCACATTTGAGGATTTCTTTTGTCATTAAACTTGTGATGTGACATCTTTAGTGAACATAAATCATGTCTAGTGCAAAATAATAGCATTGAAACACTTTAGCATGAAATAAAGGATTGTCTCAACTCTTCAGGGAGCTGTCCCATTACTTCACTAATTAAAATGATGCAAAATGTATGTTTGCTTGTTGCCCTTTTGCTTTAAATTCACATATTGGATTTTCTCTCATTTGTCTTTTCCTACAGTTCTAACTAACAACCATCTCTGGAAGATCTCTCTGTTAAGCCAAAGACCCTTGCCATGTCCTCATTCACTGCTACCGATCACATCTGCTACGCTAAAAGCCCAGTAAGCTAATGCTAACAGACACACAAACCCAAGCAAAGGGATGTGCATTGAGCCATCTTGTTCTAATGATGATTACTGAACGTTATCTTGTCATTCATCCGCTCTGTTACACCTCTATTTATCTGTCCTTCTTTCTGACACTCTTTCTTCTCTGTATATATAGATTTATTGATCTTGCCACTGGACAACTAATTTCCCGATAGATTCTACAAGCCCTTTTCTGACAGTCATTGTAGATAATCATCCAAGGCAGGCTTGCTTCAGGCCTGCTGGAACCCTGCTATGATGCACAGATTCTCAGATCGATCAGCTTAGCATGATATTCACTGGATGAGCACAGTCAGCCTCATCAGTGGGGACACGCATAAGCTAAGATCAACACACAAGGGGGCTTAAAAAAGTAGAAAATAAACTGTTCTTCCACTTAGAAAGATTAATAAAGGCATCAAAGTCCATGATCAATAATCCAGGTAAAAAAAAATCCAACAAAGTTAAGTCAGGTCCTCCGGACAGTTTCTTTGTGTTGAAACATTTTATCTCTAATCCAAAGGACTTCATCAGTCTGAGGAGCCACAACAAACTCAGTCCCATAAGCAGCACACTCACATAGTGGACCAACCAGTTTGATGGTGATAAGATGGTTTCTGGAGTCCGCCCTCTCCCCTATCGACTCCTCTGAGGTAGCAATAGCCAAAGTGGTTCAAAACACCAAAGTTCATGCTCAGTAATCCATGTAAAAAATCCAACAAAGTTAAATCAGGTCCTCTGGATGGTTTCTTTGTGTTGAAAGAGTTGTGTTGAGTTTATTGTGGCTCCTTTGTTCTAGAATTGCGCCGCTCAAGGTGGCTGCATGTTGGAGCAGCTCTGTTACTTTCATTCTGAGATTTTGCTTTTGGAAACTTTAATTAATCTTTTTCTGGATGTAAATCACATTTTTTGGATGATTGTTTCCTCTGGTATCGGATGCTGTGCAGCTGGAAGGATTTTTACTGAAACTTTTTTAGTTTTGGACATTTGTTATGATGCGTAACCATGGCAACAAGGCAGTTTTCTACAACCAACAGCAGCTGATTAACATCTCAAAAGCTCAAATAATATCTCAACTACAGCACCAAATCTCAAATGAGTTGAAAAGGATGTTCTGTGGACGCATTCTCATCTACCTGCCAGCTGTGCTCGAGTGCCTGACCACTGAGATCCTGGAACTACTTTGTAGCAGGAAACATGGCTCATGACAGTGGAAGGACAGGATCGTCCCTCGGCACCTACAGTTGGCTGTCCACAGTGATGAGGAGCTGAGCAGACTGCTGGGAGGAGTGGCCATTGCTCTGGGAGGAGTTCTGCCCGGCATTTGGGCGGTCCTACAGCCTGGGGGAACCGAGAGAGGCCAGCTGAGTCTGGGTGGACGGATCGGACAGCATCTGCAGCCAGTTTCTTAGGATCCACTGTGGGATGGACCTTTACAAGAGATCCTTCCTGCCTACAGCCATAAGTATCATCTATAACATCTCTTAATGAAATGAGGATAACGAGTTACAACAACAAATAATTTCCCTTTGGGATTAATAAAGTATTTTTGAATTGAATTGAATTGGACTGATGAAGTCCTCTGGATGAAAGATGAAACGTTTCAACGCAAAGAAACAGTCCAGAGGACCTGTTGGGACTTTGTTGGATTAATAATGGCAATTTTTCTACTGAATCTGAACCATTCTAAAGCATAAACTAAATCTTCAGACTAACATTTTGTAATTGTTAGTATTCTAGAGACTGGCTAATCTAAAATGGAGGCAGGCCCCAACCATGTGACTGTAAACATATTTATGTCTTCATAACATGAGTAATAAAAGTACAAATGTAGGTCTCCTCTCCACTGAGAAGGTGAACATGCAATGACTTGAGTCACGTGGATGTGTTACAAACAGTTAGTATTAATTATTGATGCTCTGCTTAACAAACACACATGCACACACACACACACACACACACACACTAACTCATGCTCCTGAGACTGTGGTGTTCTGGTCGAGTTAAAGCTGTTCATTCATCACCACTGAAATTAACTGTGCAATGCATAGACACTTCCCACCACGCACACATACACATATGCATGCACATGTTTCATTTCTTTTGCTGGAAGAGCTCATTTACTGTTCATGAACTGGGCGCCACCATTTCCCAGTGAAGCAGCAGAAAGGCATCTTCTAGAATGCCAAGCTCTCCATCTTTCACTTTGAGCAGCTTCAAACACAACTGTATGCAGGAATGCTCCTCAAGGTTTTCACAAAAATGTGTTTAAGTTTTCACTCACCTCATTCCCTAGTGTTTCTTCTGAACTTTGGTCAATAAAATCCAGGCTTGTTTAAAATGCAAAATCATAACTTTTATGATTTATTGCTGTTATATTTTAGGCGATATTGTTTACCTGGTTGTAGAGAGCACACACATGCAGGGCAGTGTTTCCTGATGCATTCTGGGCACTCATGTCAGCTCCATAAAACAGCAGGTGTTCCAAATGTTGCACGTGGCCATAACGGCATGCCTAAAAGGACACATTGGTGCATTTATTCTTTCTGTACAAGAGAAATGTTAACGGTTAAAGCATGAAAACATGTGAGAAAAATCATGTTTAATCTGCTAATATGACATTATTTTACAGTATCAATGCATTGAGTATGAGCAACTTCCAAATCATAAAATCAAAGGTTTCCTAAACAGACTGTAGTCCCTCTTGATTAGCCAAAACCAGCAGAAATATTTTCATAGCTGTTATCAAAATGTTTCTACTTTTTTCATT